ATTACCTCTTTGAGGTACTTCAACTATCTGATGAAATATTTGGTTGCCGACTCGGCAAAAACTATTACGCAGAATATAGTCTAAAAGATAAATTAGATCTTCTATTGTATAGTACCTATAGCCGTCTGTATCGTCCTGTGTAGAGGTGTACATCATTCTTTGATTATTATTGATTTTATATATCTTTTACAAGCATTCCTGAAACATAGTTTGGTTAGTTCTTTAAGGTTGTGAATTATGATATTATGAGGTATGTTAGTAAACATATTTGTGAAATCAGCAGAAAAGATCTTTTGTTTTTTTTTGCTTCAATGTTTCCTAGGTCGGCGGATATGTTTATATCATTTATAGCCCAGTAAGTTTGTAAGCATTTTTTATTCTTAAGAGCAGTGTTTGCATAATTTTTAAAATGAATCCTGATGAAGTTTAGAAGATTTGACAGCTCAATCGTTATATGTTTTGTGCTGCTGTCATAAGCACCAGTGATAAACCTAAATTTTGTAGGATTCTTATGTAGTTTGGGTAAGCAATATATGACTGGTATATTACAACTTACTTTGTTTTTAATGTGCAGATTATTCGTAAAGATAAGATGTCTGGTGATGATGTTATTTATATTGGAATTCTCAACCTTTTCGTATATGTTATTGACTGTATTATGCACAGTTAAACCCATTTCTTCTTATATTATTTTCAAGTATAGTCTTTTGCAAATAATTCCATAATTAGAACTGGCTTTGTCTAGAGGGCAGATTACAAAATAATTATGTATATAGTCGAGTTCGTTTCTATTAACACTAACCAATGTATTGTTATTGGTACAATAAAACAGTTTGGCCTCAATTTTTCCAAAGTTATTGTAAACTATATTAGATATTTTTTCGATAGTACGATTATTTAAGTGGTATTTTTTCTTTATTTTGTCAATGTATTCTTTAAGAATATCTAGCCAAGTGCTTTTGATTTTTTGTTGCGAAAATTTGAATGGATGTCGAAATTTTACACCTTTTTGAAAATTTCGTAAATGTCTAATCTATTAAAAATACTGACATCTCCTGTAACAATGTGTTTGTGATGGCTGGATACGTAAGTGGGGTAATTATCACAAATACAAGGTATGAGTTCAGTATTCAAACTTGGGATAGCTTTCAGGAGCTTGTTATAGTTGAAAATACGCGTAGAGATTGGACTGTTGTATTCAAAAATGACTCTAAAGTTCTTAAATTCTGTGTAACCTTCATCAATTAGAGCTCTGGCGGCTCTGTTATTGAAAATTTTATTAAGATTAACTCTACCTGATAATGAGTTGTAAAAAGGGATTTTAATTGAAGGTAGATTTTGAAATACCTTTTTATTTTTGTCAGCGTGTTTATTGAAGTGATAGTGGCAAACTGTGCTAAGCAATATAATTTTATTTGTTCTTAATATATTGAAATAGTTGGTAGATAAATTAGGTTGTATATAAGCTTAGAAATATATTTATGTGGTTTGGATTTTAGGTATTTGAAAATGTCATATGGTTTTTCTGTTTGTTCGAATAGTAAATTAATCTCATTAGAGATTTCTCTTATGTACTGTTTGGTCTATTTTTACGTCTATGGTTTCCTCTATTTTTTCTTTCTTTCAGAATTCTAAGGCTAAAAAACGGATGTGCTTTTGAGGTTGTTAAAGGGTTTTGTATTAGACTGAGATTTCCGTAGCCTTTAATATTGTCATTGAAACCAAATGGGAAGGGAGTCATTAACAATTTTATCCAAAAAAGTTCTTTGTTTCTAAGTATTTCTTTATCTTGATTTTCGGTTAAGTTGTCCAAGATAGAAATTGTAATATCATTACTGTTACATCCTTTTTTTCTTGAAGTGTCTGTAGAGTATTTTATTTTCATTATCCTTCGTTATACCTCTAATATGCTCTTTTTCTTTCGCGAAGTTTGCGGGTGGTTATTCCTACATATTGTAAACCACACGTACCACAACTAATGCAGTATACTACGTTTTTGCTAGTGCAGTTACTCACTGTGTGTTTATAGGTATTTGTTTTGAATCCAGTGACTTGTGAAATTACGTAGTCATTGTAATCCATTTTACTACATATGTTACAGGATTGATTACATTTTGAACCCTTATTTTTATTGCCGAAATTCAGTAGGTTGTACCTGCCGGATACCTTACGCTTATAGAACGTAGAACCCTGAAAATAAGATTGGGAATAACCATATGTTCTTGTATTGTTTTTGAGCCTAGATCTAAGGTATAGAAGGGCCCCATCCCATACCAGAGGGAAGGTTACTTAAGGCTTCTGGAGGACTGCTCCCAGGGGTTGGCGCTCCCTTGAAAGAATAGCTACCGGAGGCGTAGCACTTACCCTCCCATGCCAGTGACTACATGTGTAAACCCCATCGGTAGTACCCGGGAAAAGAAAAAAAAGGAAAAAGGAAGGGAAGAAAAACTAAACCCACCAACGTAAGGTACACAACCTACCCCCTTATGTGTAGTACAATGTTTTGACTGTTTAGATTTTGAGTACATGAAAGGTTTTTCTAGGATTTTGATTATGTAATGTAAGGGCAAAGAAATACCATGAATATATTGGTAGTGAAATGTTATATAGTGCTTGTTTAGTGTGATATTAATCTTATGTCTCAATAAATGTCAGTTTTTCACTATGGAGCTGAATCAAGTTACTGTTAGTAAATTTGTTTCAATTTCAATCTACCGTAATCTAGAGGTCCAACTGATTGTTAAAGGAACGTCCTATAAACGAATTACGCATTTGGCCTAAAAAATTTTTGGAGAGTCATTGTTTATTTGTTTGCTTTGGGGGGCGGTTGCCTTTTATTTTTCTTTAAGATTGAGGCTAGTAATCATTTTTATCTCTTTCAAATGGAACAGCGCAATCTTCAATACGAGGAATCTTTACAAAATAAAATTCTAAACGAATACATTCGAATCATAAATATACCGATCGGAGATAGAAAAGAATTTAATTTGATGTGTGAGGAATTCATCAATCGCATCGGGTGAGTTACTATATTTTATTTTAATCATAATTCTAAATTTTAATTAAGGTACGATAAGGAGAAGAACTTAGACCCACAACCGTTGTGGTGGCCCGTCCAGCAGGAATAGGGGCCACGACAATGGCTCTGCAGGTGTGTGAAAGATTTTTTTGAAAGTCTAAAATGCAGAATTTCCGTAAAAGTACTTAGTTTATTATGGGTAGCAATAGACTTTGCTGCAACTAGTAATCGAAAATAACAATGCGTCGAATTAGCTTAGTGTTTCCGTTTCATAAATCATTGTTTATGCCTCAGTAATGGACTAAAGGCAGTTTTAGTGACTTTTTGTAACTTCTGTAAAGTTGATTTGACACTTGTTCTCCTTATGAGTGAAGTTCATTTGTCATTTCTTTAGCCTGAGTTTCTGTAGCTTGCTATGGGGAACTTCTAATGAGAGTACTTGAGTTCTACATTTATGTTTGTACTTTCGCCCTGTGTTGTAGAGGAAGGGAAAAATAGTTGCTTATTCGTCCTGATACTTGTCTTGCAGTTCAATCCATATGGCGCTGAGTCATCCTCTGACTTTCATAGAAAAATCGATGAAGGTGTTAGCATGCTAACATTTGGCAAGATGAGTCATCATCATATTTTGCTTAGTGAAATCATCTGCGAGTAAAATTAGTAATTTTGGATACACTCCTATTCTTGAACTTCTGACTCTATCATGAGTTATTATCTCGCGTCGGCAAAAGCTAATAGATTGTGTCCAAATTTAGACTTTGTTGCCATTAATCATCCAAAATATCAATACGTCGAATCAGTTTAGTGTTCCCATCGCATAAATCATTGTTTATAGCTCAGTAATGCTTTGAAATGAACCAAAAGCTTTCTTAGTAGCTTTTCTTGTGACTTCTGTAAAGTTGATTTGTCATTTGTTCTGCATATGAATGAAGTTCACTTGTCTTTTCTTTAGCCTGAGTTTCCACTGCTTGCAATGGGAACTCTTAATGAGGGTGCTTGAGCTCTATGTTTATGTTTCTACTTTCGCTTTGTGTTGTTGAATGGTAGTGAAGAATAGTTGTTTATTTGTTCTGATACATGTTATGCAGTTCAATCCATATGGCGCTGAGTCATCCTCTGACTCTCGTAGAAAAATCGATAAAGATGCCAGCATGTCAACATTTTGTATGATATGCTTTCCGTTATGAGTCACCATCGTATTTCGCTTAGGGAATTCAACTACGAGTGAAAATACTATTTTGGATATACTCTAATCATTAAGGGATGTCTCATACAAACTTGATGAGATGTACTTTTTGACTTTATTGTGAGTCACTATTTCGTATCGGCATTCAATAGATTGTGTCTCCATGTAGACTTTCACTAATCTTCAAAAATAACAGCAAGTCGAATCAGTTTAGTGTTTCTGTTTCATAAGTCACTGTGTATAGCTCAGTAATGAATCTAAGCAACTTTCTTTATTCCGTAAAGTTGATTTGTCATATGAGCTTGTGATTTTATGTGGAGTTCACTGTCATTTCTTTAACCTGGGTTGCTATTGCTTTCTATGAGGGATGTCTGATGAAAGTGCTTGAGCTTCCATATTTATATATTGCACCTTCGCCTTTTGTTGTGAAAACCAGTTGTTATTTGTCCTAATACATGTCGTGCAGTTCAGTCCATATGGCGATGAGTCATCCTCTGACTTTCGTAGGAAAATCGATAAAGATGCCAGCGCGCGCCAATATTTCGTACGATTTGCTTTCTTTTATGAGTCACCATCAACAAGAAAGTAACACAGTATTTCGTTTAGTAGAATCAGCTACAAGTAAACTTACTATTTTTGAATAGATACACACCGATCATTAAGAGGTATATCATACGAACTAAAGAAAATGTATACTTTTATTAGTGTGATAAGTCAAGTGTTTTATAGAAAGGAGGACTAGAAAGTTTTGATCCACATTTCAGTGTTATTGTATGTATACCTTAGCGAGTGTGTCTCCGATCCGCAGTTTTGTGTTATTTTCATTTATGATTCACTGAGTGTTCTACTTAGAGTGCACAAGCCAAGCTGATTTCGAATGTATTTAGGTCAAAATGACTTATCGATTCTGGCGTTTTTATTGTACAGTTGGCAAAGTAAAGTTGGGTCAATATAACGCTGCTCACGGTATACTTACGCAATAAAATCAAGCCAAAATATGCCGAGGCCGGTGCGAAGGAGCCTGAGATGCGTATCAAAAAGGCCAAGATCGAAATCGATGGCTTAGGAACTGTGAGTTGAAGTGGAGTTTTGATTCCAACTCTGTATTTTCTTATTCCAGTTTGATCCAGTTGTTCTATCGTTAAGACTAAAGTGGGATTTTCACGATTGGCACGGTGCACCGTTTGAGGAATTGTTAGATTTCAAACTGCAGAAGGAGTACAAAGTAGGTGTACACGTCTTTGGGTATCATTTATTCATGTAATGAGTATAAACATTCTTTCTAAATTTTAGGAGGGGACTATGCATATCGGCGAAATACAACCTCCTGGTTTGGAGAATAAGGAAAATCAAGCGCCCGGTCCTTCTTATTCTGAAGCTGCAGTAAGTGTTTGAATGGATGTTGGTTTGAATTCTGAACATATCTCTCAATGTTTTCAGGCACCGCATGAAGAGAAACAAAGATTATGAACCATCTCAGTATCTTAAGAAGAGAAAGGAGTAGTAGTTGTCCATAGATTTATGCTGCAAATCTCAATCGATGATCTAAACTTTGATCTGAATAGTGCTTTAAAATAATCTGTACCATGATTTCTCATTTTCTTTATTTCCTTATTTTCAATTAGGCGATAAAGATGTTTCTTGAACGAGTGTAGATGTATAAAATGGTCATACTCTTGTCGAATGTCATGGAGATGTGATGCGTATCATGGATTTATAGTAAAGACTACCATAGTGCGTTGTGTGAATTTGTTCAAATTTGAATCTTAATGGCGGAACATGGATTGTGTGCATACCTAAGCTTGGTAGATAATTTAAGCTAAGGAATAGACTATCCTGTTGGATAGCATAGACCAGTTGGTCTGAGTTTGGCCAGTTGGCCTAACAAGTATGTTTAGAAGAAACATACTTGAAGTAAAGGTTTCTGTGAGAATTAACGGTGAGGGAAACGATTACCTATTTCAATGTGAGTCAGGGTCCTGGGTTACCCTCATGAACCTAGACTCAACTGAAAAACATAACTTATACACTTATGATCCTGTTTCGCCTCTACCCCTAGACAGGTAGCTGTATTAGACCACTCCCGAGGCTCATCAGTAGGGAGGAGTGGGTTGGAGAAGGAAGAGAGTGATAACACCGTAACAGGGTTGCCTTTTATAACCTGTGGGGTAGGTCAGATAGATCAAAGGCAAGGCCAAGGATTCAAGTTTACCATTTTGTAAACGAATCTTTTCACATTCTTGTGCTTAGTTGATTGTATTTATATGTAATACATTTGTTAAAGGTAACGCATTTGATTATTTTTAGTTGAATTACTTCCTTGTCATAATTTAAGCTAAGTAATAGTCCAATCAAATTTTCAATCCTTTCTTAAAAATCCTCAAATTTAGTGCAGGATCTGTAGATTCGCAATACTTCTGTATAAATAATAGCACATTTGAGAGTAAGGCTTATATGTGAAGTTCCATGTGAAAACCTTACAACTTCAAAACCAAAAGCTTCAGTTTTATTGTATTGCTTAGTGATGATGACATTATTTCTAGTAGAAATACTTAGGTCCAGAAAATTACAATCATAGGAGTAGGATTAGTAGTCTCCATACTCAAAACGTTATTATAAACTTGAGTCAATCAAGTCCGCACTATGCTCTTCATTAAAATCTATGCGTGCAAATTTATTTTTAGTACATCAAAAAATACTTTTTCAATCTTCCCAAAAATGTGGATACGCCATTAAGAAAGTTTTCAAACCAGAAGAATTTATGCAATGTAATTAGTATGCGTAAAAACCTCACTACACAAATTTCAATATTAATCAAAAACAATTTTCAACTTTCTTTTTCCCACTGGCGTTTTAGTTAAAAGTTGTTACCGTACTTTGACAATAAAGGGCGATCAGTACTTTGCTTCATACTGTGAGCCTAAGCGGAAGCCACCTCTACAAAATGGTACCGAGAGGTAGGCGAAAAACTTTTTAGGAAGAGAAATATTAATGTGAGTAGTATACACATACTTTTAGGACACCATGTATATTAAACGGTGCGAAATTTCCTTTTATTTTGAATCGCCCCGCAGATCACGTAGAATAAAGATCGACAAAACTTTAAGAGTATCCGATGCGGAATATCTTAATCTTTTCAGCAGCTATGTTATTAATGCGATTCTTTTAACGAACGCTAGTATGTTCAACTGAAGTTTACAACCCTTCATTTTTGGCATGTCTAGCTATTTTTCAAAATTTTTTCTGAACAGTTAAAAAAAAGCCTGATAGGAGCATCTTTTGCAAATTAATGCAATTTGTATTCCTCCAACATGTTTATCAATATTACTAAATCACATTTTCCCAAGTGAGTAAATATTATGCTCGCCCTATTGGATAGTCTACAACATGAAATGGTAAGCAGTCTACGCACCATTTAATGCAGCTTTTTCCCCTCTTTTTCACAGGTATAGGGAAAAATCGCCTTTTCTCAAATTTTACAGGTGCGCACTGTTGTACTCTGAAATTGAAAATCTCCATATTTCGGAGCGACAGTGGCCCACTCAATTTGCAAAATTAGTGGTGTTAGTTAACAATCGCGTTTAGAAAACTTAATATTATAAATTTTTGTGCAGTTGGTGCAATCATGTGTTATGCGATTTTTTTGGAATTCGAGGCTTTTGAGCAATACTGCAAAGCTCTTAGAAGGAGGTTGAAAAAGCACTAGGTTGTCAAAATAAGGTCGTTTTTAATTTGCTTACTTTAGCAAAGCAACCATGCAACCCAAGAAGAGATAAGAGGGGGGGGGGGTACCGTTCGAAGAGCAAAACAAGCCCTACATTATGGCCCGTAGTAAACCCCCCATTAGGGCATCTCTCTCGACGCGGACCGGCGTTGATCTCATCACGCCTCAGTCTAGCATCCGGCGAGCCATTGATCTGGATGCGGATCGCTTCCGAGGCATTACAATCGAGTGCGTTCTTGAAAAAGGAACCACTTGAGCTGATTTGGTCAAACGGGTAAGCGGTTGGAATTACACGCGCGCGGCCATGGTTCGAGTCCGACTAGCGATCCACGTTTTGATGCATCGCTGGGCAATCTTTGATAGCGGCCACTACGCAATCGATGATGACCGCTATCAAGGATTTCGCCTAGCAAATGCACGGACAAAACAAAAACACAATTTGCGACGGGTTGCAGTGTGAATTTAATGAAATGAATAGATGAGTTCTTGTTTTGGACAGCTAGTAAAAAAACCAGTAAGGTTTACAAAAAAGAGAAGAATTTGTTTTTTGTTATACTCGCCACATCGATCCTCTCCTTTTCGCGCGCGGTTGTGCAATTTTGCGCCGATTTTGTCTGCATTTTTGGCCTGATTGATGTGTATCGTAAGTTACTCAGGAGCAACTTACGGGAGTCTTGCCTGCGTCTCCTCTTTTACACACTATTTGCATCACTCTAACATCAGTTCACGTTCAGGTCACTTAAACGTGAACTGATGTGGAAGAGTTGACTGCAGCAGGTGGACAGATGGTCAACTATCAGTTCACTCGCCATTCTAATGGAAAGGTAGGGTGGGCGGTCATCAGTTCACCTGACGTGAGGTGAACTGATGGGACAAGTTTAGTTCACCTGAACTGATTAGGCTTTACTACGGGCCTATGCCATTTATGATTGCGCCAAGTTTGAGGACCTATGGAAAGTTTAAGCTAAAGTTTTAAAAATTTTCCCAAATGCCCAAAAAAGCAAAAAAAATTGGGTCTCCGTCCAAATAATTTTTCTACGAAACTCTCACTCGCATACGTCAATACTTTCGGTATCAAGCATCCATACGCGTAGTTGCTGCATTTACCCTGACTAAAAATTGAGAAAGAAAAAAGAAAAATTTTGTCATATTTTCGAAGCAATGCTGAGCCGTTCTTGCATATAAAATTCTATACTACGAGCCTAAATAAGTATAACTGTGGAAATTCAGCCTATTCCGAACGGTAGTTTTTGAGAAATGTTGGCTTCAGCACTGAATATGAAGAAAGCTGAGTTTGATATTTTGGAATTACCGCTCGGAATAGGCTGAAAAACTACAGTTATATCATTCTTTCCGTTTCGACTTTGCCCGCAGTGACTCATACATTTCTTATTGGTAAACAGAATTTCAGTTATCATTTAATAATGCAGAGCAAGCTCTACAAAGATCTACAAGATCGCGTTTTTGCTTTGCATCAGCTTCAATCCACCGCGAGTTTGAAGAAAAACCAAAAAGATTTGACTGCCCGAAAACTGAAAAAAAACGTAGCACCGTCCAAAAGAATCCTACAAAAACCCTAAATTGCTTACGCATGTACTTTTCACATAAGACGTTTATATATAACATCGCTGTATTATTCCTTGGCTAGAACTTGAAAAAACTAAAACTTTTATGCCTTTGCTAAATTGGTGCTATACTGTTCCCACATAACTAATTATGTACTACAAGCTTCTAGAAGTATACAAACGTAAATTTTCAGCTTTCTACAAGTTTTATTTCTCGAACAGCGAGTAAAACCCTTGCTTGGGTATCCACGTAAAAAAACCATACTTCTCGAAAACAAAAGCTTGTAGAAAGCTGAAAGTTTACGTTTTTACTTTTAGAGACTTGTAGTATACAATCGCTTATGTGGTAACAGCACAGCATCAATTTGGCAAGAGCATAAAAATTTTTATTTTTTCAGATTCTAGCCGAGAAAAATTACAGCAATGGTATGTATAAACGTCTTATGTGGGAAGTGCATGCGTGCAGCAAGTTAGGATTTTCAAAAAAAGGTTTTTTGGATGGAGTTACAATTGAAAATTGAACCCGGAAAATTGAATTTTTCTGATTTCTGGCTTCAAACTCGCGGTAGATTGAAGCTGATGCAAAACCAAGAAAGCCTTTTTGTAGAGCTTGCTCTGCTCTAAAGGTATTCGGATGCCCGTCTAGAAATAAAAAATGTATGAGTAATTGCGGGTCAAAATCAAAATGGACGGAACTTGCGGGACAACCGGAGACTTAATTAGGCCCATAGTATAGTTATGCAAACACGGCTCAGCATTGCTTTAAGAACACTCCAAGAATTCTCGTTTTTTTTTCAACTTATTGTCGAGGAAAAAATGCAGCAAGTGCACCTATGGATGTCTGAAACCGAAAGTTTTGACGTATATGAGTGAGAGGTCCGTAAAATATACTTGAACGGAGATTTTTTTTCGATATTCCGGTTCGTTTTTCCGATTTGAGTTCAAACTTTCCGCAAATCGAATTTGCCGGAAACCATGAATGCCAGCTTGTAGAGCCTTGCTTTGTTTTATCGAAAAGTAAATCTTACACTTTTTTGGGTTCAGTCTGATTGCTTTGTTAAAGCAAGCAACTGGAAAACAACACTATCTCCTTGACAACTTAATGGAATTTTCGGCAGGTCAATTAGATAGAAGAGATAAACATGCCCTTCAGCCTTATCTTATCATTCAAGCGGCGCTAGTACAGGCTTGCTATTTCTCGCAGATAATAGTGTACTAATCTACAGCGATTGAAACGCTGATTTTGAATCAATCATATCTGCTTACCATGCTCTTTTCACCATTTTTTTTATCACCACCAGGTGAAGTAAAGATTGTATTACTTTAACCCCTCAGTCAAATT